TTTCATTTTTATTCTCAGTTTTCAAAAAAATAGAATAAAAATTAAAATCATATTAATTATATATTCACATTTTGGTGTTATAATATAACACGTCTATAATTCGATTTATGTGTTGATGAGAGAAATTATTATATTGAGTTAATGCAGCTATTGATGTAAAATTCGTGTCTCATGAAGAATGTAATGTAAGCAATTATGAGTTAAAATTTGAGCATCAAAATTTAAAAGAAGGGATAGTATTGGCATGGCTTGACACAAGCCAACAAAAGAAAATGCCTTATTTTTTTCACAATAAAAATGTCATGTATTTTTGCTTGCCAGACTCCGATCTTTAAGGGATATGATTATATTTAAATTGAATCTGCTTGTATAGCTTAATATTTATATTTTAACATCTTAAAAGTTAATTATAAGTTAAATGAAATGTATTTTTTCAGTATAAGTGATTTTTTTTTATATGTGGCATGACAAGCTATCATTCTAGGGCAGGAAAGCCAGTCATTGTCCAACCCAAAATGATTAGAGCTTCTCGGGTGATGTAGCCCGTTCATCTTCGGACACTCCTAATTATATTTAAAATTAAAAATTTCACTAGAAATTTTTCTTGATTGATTCGGACAATAGTCAACAAAAGTAGTTGTCACGCATGTATTCACTAGTTAAATGCAGTGCATGCAAGTCGCTCACACAAATGACATATATATTTAACCGATCAGAATTACTTGAAATGAATTTCAAGTTAGATTGGAACTTGAAAGACAAAAAATAAAGAATGAGTTCCACTTGTGCAGTTTGTAAAGTATACAAGATTAAGTGATTTTAACTCGCCGTAAACACCTATTAATTAATTACATAAATAAAAATAGTGAAGCATAGAATTAGAAATTAAAAAGCTAAATCGGTACCATGGAATATGAAAATAAAATAAAATATAGTGGTTGATATCTGACGCAGCACTTCTTGATTCCTTCGGACATTAATCCAAATCGAACAACGCTACAAAGTTGTCTTCACACAATAAATTATTAATAATTAATTCATAAAACACAGAAGCCGTATTTGTTTCGTGTTTTTAAGTTATTATCGTTTAGCACTCCTACTTGTCCTCTATATATTTGTATTACTACCTCCTATCTTTTAACATAAAAGTTAGTCTAATTTTAATTTAGTTCTAAATATAACACCCCAATCTATTTTGTCTATCATATTATTCATTTTTTTTAAAATAGTTCTTGTAATAGTTGCATATTTAAAATATTTTAGCTAACACATTTGATTAATAAGATATTTTAGAGAAAAAATATTTATTTATTACAGATAACTAAATTAGCAAACTTTCTTATACTCAAACTAATCAACTAATTCTTATATTAAAGACAAAAGGTAGTATTACAATTCACATCTAATATATAAATAATGCGGAATAGAAAAGGACATCTATGAATCATTCTTGATAAAAAAAAATTATGAGCCGTGGGTAGGTGTGTTTCGTTTAAAATTAACCATTGACATATTGGTTGAGTGATATACTAGGTTAATAAATCCACTGTAGTTTGATTTGAGAATGAAATCGACAATTACCCTTTAAATGAAATATAATTATTTTGAATTAATTTTTGCACAGCTAGATCTTTCATCCTTCAAAATTTGGGATTGATTTTTTTTTTTCTAATTTGTAAATTTATATAGATATAATTCATCACTGTCAATCAACTTGTTATTTCACTAATGATAAAGTTTTGAAAGATAACATACACAAAATCCAAAATTTAAGATAGTTATTTGTAAAAATATATTAAAAAATTAGAAAGATTCATTGTTTTATGAATTATGACGTGTTATTATCGTACGTCAATAATTAAAAAAATCAACTAACGGTATATGATTATGAATTCAAATTTTCTTAAAACAAATGAAAAATTATTTTTATACAACTTAAAGTTAGGAAAGTTACATATAAACTTAACAATTAGTAATAATAATTGGGATAAGACATCCTAGGCCTCTCAATCCTCGACAATCATTACCAAAACTCTTGTATTATATTATCAAAACAGGACATTATTAATGATAAGCATTGTTAGATCACACCTCTAAATGGGGCCCTCTAATTTGTCTTCTAATTTCTTTTCTTCATGAAATGCCAACTCGTACTATGTTTGATATGATCCAAATTAGGACTTATTGTAATATTTCAATTGTGTTTGGTTATGTGGGTTTTCTAGAAATAATATAATATTATAGAACATATTGCCAAATGCACTTAATCTTTAGATTCCCATAAGACTCAATTTTCTTTGATCAAAGAGGTGTATAGAGGAAGCATGCAATAGAAGTAATATTAAATTTTTGGTTTGATATTATCACCCACATATCATTATCAATTGTAGGGTTTTTAATTAAGGATACGTCTTATCTTAAATTATGTTTTCAACGTTAATAGAACAACAATAGTTACCCGGTGAGTGAAAATGTAACCACTTTTCATTACAAAAATCTGGCTAATAAATATTTGAATTAGAATTACATATAATCCTAATTCTTATAATCAATGAATTGTGCCATAAATGACTGGGAAAAAAATTGAGATAGCTAAATAATAATAATGCAATGAACTATTCATGATAAGATCAAATAATTTACGAATGCTCTAAACATGTTCAGACAAAAAATTTTTTTAAATATCTGAGGACATTTCTAATTAACTTTAATTGTGTATATTCCTTATTATTACTTTTTTTTAACAGAAATATTCATTATTATTACTACCATCAACATTGGAGGATTTATTTGATATATAGTATATTTAATTTGACAGTATAAAGTATAAACCAATGCAATATATTATATCTTTATATTTCTTCAATTTAAATAATAAACCATAGAAGTTTTAAATTTACACATCAAATATTTCTCATTCATCTCAGTGATGTACACATATATAATTAAATTCAATCTTAACAACAAGCAATAAAATAGGAGTATCTTTTGTCAGTAGTAGAATCGCATATGTTTTTTATCATGAAAACTCCGAATCACCTACCACTTATTTAAATTAAAAATACAAGGATCCTTACCACTTATTTAAACTATGACAATCCTTGTTAACTTATCTTGTATAAAACTTGGTCAAAGTAGCCTACTTTGGGGGATCAAGTTCCAACTTTATATATTGGCAGAGTCATGCAAGGTTGGGGTCGCTGATGTGGGCTATTATTGTGATTGTTCATTTGTGTTTGTTATCTGCATATATCTGTAATGACCTGACTCATGTTGAGTTAGTTTGCTGGTTCACTTAAAACTTATATGTTGTTTCGTTTGATTTTAATAAATTTGACTTTCAATCTAAAGAACAGTAACTCTACTCCTGTGATCTCCCTTATTTGTATTTCAGCTCTTTAGACATACCTAACCAAATGGCTTTAGAAGGAGGATTCAAATCTATGAGCCATAGAAATAACCAACACTTCAAGCAGCAGGAAGATTTTTTTTTTTTTTGGCCCCTTCTTGACCATTTTGTTTTTAACTTTTAAGGCCTTGTTTGGAAGATCACGCTCAGGCCTTCAGGAAGCGCGTCAATGAAGCAAACAAGACAACAACAAACAGAAGGCTTAGGAGTAGTAGCCGGGGTAGAACTTAAAAGGCATAAATCAGAAATCAGAATGTGAATAGAATGCGAGGCTCAGCATCTCCCCAATCTTTCATTATAAAGCGAATATATAAATTTTAAGGCACCCGAAAGAAAGTAAAAACGTTGAAAAACATTATAACAGATATTTCAAGTTTTTTGGAGAGCTGCACACTTGTATTGATGCTGATGAATCCCTCGTTTTAGGAGACGTCCCCTCGATACAGACCAAGGCAAAAGGAGCAGAAGCTGTGTCGTTTTGATACAACCAGATGGTGAGTTTGTTGTATGTTTTGGAGGAAGATGACATGCGCTGTTTTATGTTTTATGAAGCTCAGGATGTTGGAGATGATCTTCTTCTGGGTTGGAAAGTTAAAAGTTCATTTGTTCAGGGCCGATGAAAAACTGAGATACTAAGCAATTATTTTGTTTCTTGTTGTTTGAATAGTGTGGGTGTCTGCCATTTATGAAAAGCTTCTTTCTTTTTTTCCCTTCCTTTTTGGAGGTTAAGCATTGGAGGTGGGGAATTCTTTTCTATCTTCTTGCTTCGATTCATATGCATGGTACTCTGTGTCTGTTCTCTATTCCTGATATCTCCTTTCTTTTTCTCATCATGTGAATTCGAATTACTATACATATTGGGTTAGAGATGACTTCCGAGTTCTCAACATTGTTATTGGCCTTCCTTTGTAATTTTGTGTCACTGATGATACAGTCCATGGCAGTTGGCAGGAAAGTCCGGGGAGAATGATTGAAAAACAGCATTTTTTTTTTTTATTGGTTAACTATGTCGGTTGAAACATTTCCCCCTTGTTTCTCTTCAGCTTCACAGTTGATTGTTAATTAGATGGAGGAATGACTACAAGGAACACCTCAACAGAACATATGATTTATCAAGCGGGCTGCTTCTCAGTTTAGCAGAGTGCAGACCAATATTGCATTAAACTTGCTTAAATATTGTCTGTTTTCTTTCTGCAAGGCTATTCAGATGTCATGATTAATGGCTCATGGTTACTATGGGATATGTTGATTCAAGAGTTTATATATATCAATCAGTGACAATCCGTGATTCTTTTATTAAAGTATTGACAAGGTCCTCATAGGATCTTCTCTATACAGTTCTTCATCCTATCCTTGCTTCCTTGTGACAAGAGGACGATGGTTTCTTTCTCCCACACACATCATGAAAATGGTTTCAAACACATATGCACGTGTGAATTTGTTTGTTCCTGTATAAGTTTTTTCATGCTTATCTCTGGTTTGGCGTCATCAGGTAAGTGAAGAATCAAATTCATTCAATTAGTTCAGGCTTTTCAACTTTCAGCTGCTAATATTTACTGCAACAGCAATTTGCTAGGTATACTGTTCATGGTTGCTGGTGATTGAGAAAGATGTAGCCAAATCCATGTTATCTGCCTCGTTTAATGTCTGAGTTTCAGTGAATTTGTATTTTAATAGGTAATGGTTAGGCCATAGTGAAGTACGATGAAGGGTTCATGTAAGAAAGATTTTGGCCTACGTTCTGCTCATTCAACATCCCCTGATTTTCTTGGATGCTCATCATGGAAAACTTCATCTGGATTTCATGGACAAGAATCACCTATGTCCAAAGGTTTGAGCTTAAACATGGGAGTTCTTCCACAACAATGTCTTAATACTAAGCTGTCTAGTTTTCCATTTCAAGAACAACTCTCATCTTCAACTCAACCAAATGAGCAATCTTATCCTAAAGGTGTTTCGGCAAATTCAGGTATCATTATTTTAAATGAAATTCTGTTTAGTATCTGTAATTTTGAAATAATTTCATTACCAGCTGGTTTTCTGCTATTGCTGTACAATATTTCTATGATGAAACTCCAGCACTATGGATACCAGAAGAAAAGACACGAAGTAATGCAAATATACAATAACATTCTAGTTGCCGCATGATATCTTCTTACTTAGCATCAACTCTTGTAGAATAATGACATCTGTAGTATATCATGCTTTTAAAATGATCTGAGATGGCTTAGCCATCAAACAAATATTTTCAATTGCATGGGTTTGGTACTTCACAATTCATATCAATTGATGTTTGCCTTCCTTCCTACAATAGGTCAGTTTTCTATGCAATATAGCAGTTCTTCTGAGGGAATGTCCTTGGGAGGTCTCATCAGGTCATCTGTGGGGAGGCAGGATTTTGCCTTCGCTTCTCCATTTCTGGATCATAACAAATCAACTGTAAGTAGACACATACTTACGTTAGTGTTCTGTGTATGTAAGATAGGTGCATCTCTGTTCCTTAAAATTAGGATTACAGATACATATTGCATCCCATAAACCCAACTCATCTTTTGGTCGTCTTTTAAGTGCTGCATGTGAATTACAGTCTAAGATATCAGAGTATGTTCTTTTCTTTTATTAGTATATTTATGTCTCCTTGTTTTTGGTGATTTTGTGACCAGCATAACAGTATATTATATAGTTGAAATTTTCTTATGCTAGAGTTTGATGGAAACAAAATTGTTGTCATTGGTTGTCACAAAAAAATTGCGGTTGTTGGTTTTTCTGACTTTTGTGAGAATGAATTTGGCTTTGTTATTAAGGTTACGGTTTGGATTGAGGGCAAGGGAAGGGAAATGAAAGTTTAATTTTGATAATTTCTTATGCTTTCATTTACTCTCCCCAGTCCAAACTTATTTTAAGGAAAAATTTATTTTATTTTAAGGAAAAATTTAGATTTAAATTAAAAAAAATAAAGTTTGACTTCCCTTCCCTTCCTCCCATTCTTCTCAATCCAAACTCATCCTAAGGGCATCTTAGGTATGGTGACAAGGAAATGAAGGGAATATCAAGTGAAAACTACTGGTAGGTAGGGTGTGAAATGACGTCATACCCCTTATTCTAATGCCTATACCAAGACAAATATTGTTGAATAATGATAACAACAACATAATAGCACTACACAACAATTTTTCTCTCGGTTCCATCTCTGTCTCTTGGCTGCCAAGGGCGAGGATCCCATCCCACCCTTAGTTGAACTTAGGAGTTAGAGTGAAAGCTTCTAGTAGAAAAAAGCATGCTAGTATGTGAAACTCAGGAAAAATTCTGAGCAAAGCCTTTCAGCAAAAAACTGCCAATGGCTTTCAGGAGTAAATTACATCTGCCAGCTGTTTGTGTGGCTACCGGCTATATACCACTTTTAAATGGTCAATCAACTGTCCATATCTACCCCCCCCCCAAAAAAAAAAAAACTGTCCATATCTTTCATCTTGTTATCCATGCATAATTATTCTTTTTAGATTTATTGTGCTACATGTTATTTTCCAGCCTTGGAGATTCTTAGTCTTTAGAAAGTGAGGCCTATAAAGTAACTTTTCATTTAATAATAAGCGTTTTAGTTTTTCCTTTGCATCTCCTTTGCTCTTATTCTTTCATTGCTTTGCTCGTTTAGTAAAAATAATTCATCTTTGTGGGGATATTGTTTCCTTTCTTTGACCCTGTTGTTTTTATAATAAACTTTTAAGATATGCAGTATTCTTTAGAAGAAAGCATGTTATGCTTGTTGACTTTAATTCCCCTGTTTAATAGACATAAGGAAATGGACTGAGAAGTAGAATGGAAAAAAGTTGATTTTGGTGATGAAATAACCGTCGTACCTGTACATTAAAAAAAGGAAAACTTGGAATTCCTTTTCTGCTGTGATACCAAATGGATAGTTTATGAAGAAAGTAAGTGGACTATCCATCTGTAATAAGGTTGTTCACTTCAGTCTTTTACTCTTCAGATTCTCTTCTGCTATATTCTGTTTGTAAAGTGAGTCTATAAAGCCATGTGACCTGAGTTAAAGGCATAAAGCAGCAATAGTGCCAGAATGGGTTTCCCTTGTCTGAAACATACTCCATTTTATATATCTAACCAGATTCATCATGCTCAACTAATGGGAATGGCTCCTCTTCGACTTCCACTTCCACTTGACTTCACTGAAGAACCCATATTTGTGAATGCAAAACAATATCATGCAATTCTGAGGCGAAGACAGCATCGATCAAAACTCGAATCACAGAACAAACTCAGCAAAACGCGGAAAGTAAGTGCATTTTCATTTCCCTCTCCCTTTCCTTGTTCTTCAACATCACTTTCACTTGAACACACTGAGATTGTAAAATTCTGCAGCCATATCTTCACGAGTCTCGGCATCTACATGCGTTGAAGAGAGCCAGAGGTTCCGGTGGACGCTTTCTTAACACCAAGAAGCTTCAAGAATCATCAGAACTACCTTCAGCAAGTCAATATGAAACAGAACCTGAGTTTCTTGGGTTAGAAAATTGCAGAGGCAGCGCACCCACCTCCACTTGTTCTGACAGCGACAACATATTACAGCAACAACATGAATCAAATTTGAGGTTGTCCAGAAGATATCCTTCTAATGTTGGAATCAATGTGCATAGTTTCTCAGTTGACCATATGAGTGGTGATGAGAATCAGCATGGGTTGTCTGTCTTCATGTGACAGATTTGAAAGGGGAAGTTATAGCGGTTATTCTTGTTTCATCTTTCGGTTGGAAAAAGATCACTGCTTGATTGAATCCCTTGGGAAGTCATCCTCGGCTCATTTTATGTTGTGTATTTCTATTACTAGCTTGTTTAAGGAGAGATTTTTAGGTCTTTGCTATATATTTAATTAGATTAAGTATGTATTATATGTAAACATACAGACCTGTTGGAATTAAATCCTAATAAAAACAGGATATGTTTGAATGTGTGTGTTTTCAGGGAGAATTGGATGAAATGTAACTTGAGCCCGCCGCTTGAATTCTTATTTCATATGTAATTTTCAGAAATAGTTCAGTGGATATACAAAAATTATTATTATTATTATTACTGTTACTACTTTTTTTTTTTTACAATTACTATTACTACTATTGACACTACTACTAGTCTACTACTACCATTATATATAAAATTTCAAAAATTTGAAATAGACTATAAATGCGATCGTATTTAAATTAAACAAAGCGCATCCATTTGATTTCTTAATGTCACATAAGGATTTTTTTTATTAAAAAAAAAGTAAAGTACCTCTATTAAAATTTTAAATATGAATAAAATATTATCAAATATGGACATATCATATTTAATTTTTAAAATAATAATGATTAGGATACAAAATTATTATTTGAGATTATGGCGTTACAATTAAAAAACTAGATAGAAAATTAGAAGACTAAATTAAAACTCTGTACAAAATTAGTGAATCAAAATACAATTTAATCAACATAAAGATATTGCAGCGAGAGAAAATACATATAATTCATTGATAGAATTAAAAATATACTAAAACTTTATAATTTTAAAAAATTGTCATTTGGATGCATGAATAGTAAATGTATAATAACCATTGATTATAATTATTAGATTGTATTAATTTTTAGATAAAATATGATAAATTTTTAAATTTTAGAAATAATTAACACAGTCTGTAAAATTGAAATGATTATTTATTATTATTTTTCCTATGATATCCAGATAAAAATCAAATCACTTATCATCATTTATTCATTCCTTAATGAGGTTTACAAAAGTGAAAATACACGCCTATTGCATTTACTCCAAATTATGTATTTCCATTTTTAAAAAACCTCAGTATTTCTTTTTTTTTTTGAGCCAAAAATTCAATATTTCTACATAATATATTTTTCTATATTTTATGAAGGAGCCATATAGTTACAATATTCATCCCCCTTAATTAAAATTTAAACCAGAAAACCTAATATCAAAAACCCAAGTCAATTCCATAAAGAAATACCTTCCTTCAAATTGCACACCATCACCCCTCCACACAGCCTTCTCCTTTTTCTGAATTTCTCAAGGCAGGAACCGCCACCTTCTGACCAGCAATTCCGTTCAATCTTCTCTCGCTAGACGACCTGGTTCTCGTTATCTTCTGTCTTGTGCACAGAGGCAGTCATTGTTTCTGATTTTGCTTCTTAAGACTCTCAGAGGGAAGTTGAGGTAATGGACCCGCGAACAAATTGTAATCCTCGCACTGTTGAAGAGGTTTTCAGGGATTTCAAAGGCCGAAGAGCTGGAATGATTAAAGCCCTTACAACGGGTACATGCTTCTCGCATTTCTGTGTCTTTGTTCTCTTTCTCTATTTCGTCTTTTCTGGGTCATTGATATTTGTCCGCGAGAATAACCGTATACAAGACGGGAAGGGGTAAGTTTTAATGCGGTGTTTGCAGCTGCTTCGGCTTAAATCTGTGCACTTTCGTTGCGAACCAGTAGGGTTTTTATATTTATTTATTTTCGTTAGTTTTGATTTCCTAATGGTTAAATTGGAGTGAGGGCTTTAGAGTTATCTCAAGAATATTTGGGAGGAACATGGAAGGGGATTTGTTGAATTCGGTGTTTCTTTTTGACTAGATTGTCCTGTACCTTCAGTTGTTTATCATCCATGTTACTCATGAGTGAAGAGAAGCAGAAATTCTTCAACCCAACAGTGTTTTTGAGATAAAAATGGCAGTTGCTTAAATTATTTACTAACCTTCACTGTTTGTTATTATCTAAGATATCGAGGGAGGAACTTTTTCGTTGTTTACTTTTACCTTCTAACTTATCTTTGAATTGTATTTAATGCTGCTTTCCGTTCAAAGTTTTCTGCATTCAGTGCAAAATAATCAGGCTCTTTATTATTTTTTTTTTGTTCTTAATTTCCACGAACTCTGGAGTGGGAAGGGATCTATTAACATTGTTATTTGTTATTGAGAAGATTGTCCCGCATTCTCAATTTTTCCTCATTCATGCTAATCACGAGCGTAAAAGAAACGGAAAATCCACCTCTTCCTCCAAAACGAAATGTCATGACGACTTTTTTCATAGTTTATTGAGTTGGGCTTTTACCTTATAGAACCTATTTACAGGTTTAACTTTCAAACTGCACACGTTAGACTGTCACACGGATGCAACTGATACTGGGAATTCCTGATGGAATCATGCTTTTCCGTTATTGTTTCCAGAGCAGTTTGTTAGTATAATGTACAGTCAAGCTATACCCTTTCTTGTAAGATGGACAGAGGTAGCATTGGGTATAACCCGCAAGGCTTGGTTTAGAGCTGGAATTATCTATGTTGGTGTGGATTACAATTATTGGTTTCTGTTGTAAGGTTCATGACATTTGCTTCTCTCTTTCTCTCTCTTGTAAGTCTTGTCATTTTCCTTTCAGTGAGGCTGGCTTAGGCCTCTTTTACAGTTGACGCAGGGGTTGTTAATCTTGGTTTCTTTGCCCTTTTCAACTATTATCCGTAAAAACATTTTCAGTACTTTTGTATGAATTTTCATTTTGATGGTTATTGGTTGAAATAGGATAAGGAAAATGGCAGTAAGTTATATGAGTTCTGAGTTTAAATGTTTCAGTATCTAGAGCCCGGAGTAATGCTTTAGAAGAGTCATAGATGACGGATGTTGGTCTTCTTCTGTTCTGTGCTGATTGTGGGCGAACCAAACATTATTATCTTGTCTTGTTTGTTTTAAATACAATTTCTAGATTTTTTTTGTCATTGAATCTTTTCATCTATATGAGTGGCAAAAACTTTCTTGCTGATTATTTCTTTGTTTGGTCATTCTGTTGCAGATGTTGAAGATTTTTACAGCCAATGTGACCCTGGTTAGTAGGAATGTCCTTAGCTCTCCATTCATTTATTCCTTTTCAGCAAACTTGTTTGCTAAGTCGCTGATGTGTAATGGTATTGTTTGTGGTGGTAAAGTCCCTGTGTGTAAATATTTTTGCATTTCCCATTTGTAAATTTTTTAAGTTTCTAGTTGGTGCAATACTCTCTAATGCTTTCTTTAAGAATTTAAGACATTTCATCAGTTGATTCATGATATCATTTGTATCCTTTTGTGCACTCTCTAGAGTTTAAATTTTCTCCTCTTTAAGTGCGGTTAGTGAGTAATGTATTTTATAGCCCCTCATTTCTTATTGTATTGAGTGCATTGATAGATTTGTTACACACAGTATTTTATAATCAGAAATAGGTCAGCCTTGCTTATACTTACTTTATCTGTAGCTTTTCTGCTCTTTATATTTTGTTTTGGTTATGATTATATTACTCTTTCAGAGAAGGAGAATTTGTGCTTGTATGGACTCCCTAGTGAGCAGTGGGAAGTGAACCTACCTGCTGAAGAAGTTCCTCCAGAGCTTCCCGAGCCTGTTCTGGGAATTAATTTTGCCAGGGATGGCATGCAAGAAAAAGACTGGTTATCTTTAGTCGCAGTCCATAGTGATGCATGGTTACTTTCCGTGGCCTTCTATTTTGGAGCCAGATTTGGTTTTGATAGAGCTGACAGGTACTTTGTATTCAAGGCATACCTACATAGATTTTATCTTACATTAACTTGTATTTTCTTCCTTTTTTTTTGTTGGTTTTTTTTTTTTTTGGGGAAGGGGGGGGGGGTGCTGGTCTTGTATTGAGTTGGCTATTAAAACTTAAAGGCTGCAAAGTACCTTGGTTCTTAGATCGTGGCTGCCTGACTTATGTGACATTTTATTTATGCTCATTGACACTCTGTCTCTTGATGTAGCAACCATTAACTTTCCATCTGGTTCTCCATGCAGAAAACGACTTTTCAATATGATCAATGAACTGCCAACAATTTTTGAAGTTGTTACCGGTACAGCAAAGAAAGAAGTGAAGGAGAAGTCTTCAAATCAAAGCGGCAGCAAATCTAAGTCTGGCTCTAAGGTGGTAAATATAATTTTCTTATGATTGCATTTCAGAAGTAAAACTTGTTCATTAATAGTTCAATAATTGTGTACTTATGTAGTGAAGAAATCCTGGTTGGTCTTGGGTGCAGTCTGTTTTTAGATGGAGGCCTTTTTAGTAATTATGCCCCTTGGTCAATGAGTCAATTTCATGTCTGGGGTTTCTAGTCTAGAAGTGGAGATGTTTAATTTCGTGCAATTATTATGAAATTTGTGACACAATGTGCTATTATGCATGTATTGAAACTGTATATGGCTTAGGTAGGAATTTTGTATCATATAAATATGCATATAACCCTAAAAAATGTAGGTTATAGGTGGTGGTTATTCACTTGTTTGAGTGCATCTCGAGATGCTTGCTTAAATGGATGGAAAATTTGTTGGTGCTGATTGATTCCTGCAATCTTCCCTTTGCGCTTGTGAGCATAGTGTCAAGAGTTTATACACTTCTGAGCTGGTTCGTTTTTCTCATTTTATTTATTGGCTTCGGGAGCAGAGAGCCTCAGAAAGCCAGGGTAGACAATCGAAGATGTTGCAACCCAAAGATGAGGATGAAGTTCCAGACGAGCAAGATGAAGATGATGAACATGGAGATACCTTGTGTGGGGCATGCGGTGAGAATTACGGTACTGATGAGTTCTGGATTTGCTGTGACATCTGTGAGAAGTGGTTCCATGGCAAATGTGTGAAGATTACCCCTGCAAGGGCGGAGCATATCAAGCAATACAAATGCCCATCATGCAGTAACAAGAGAGCTCGGTGCTGATGGCTAGGTTCTGTCATTGCAAGGCGGTGCTAGCTTTTCTTGGTCTGGTTGATCTACTTTCCAATGCAGTCGATGGATAGGTTCATATTTACCCCTGTAGCTTTCTCTTTTCTCTTTTTTTCCTTTTCTTTTCCCAGACTAGGAATTTTCCTGTGATGATTTAGGTTCATCTTTGTCATTCAGAAAAATCAGAAATTTTAAAAATAATTCAAAGCCAGCAGAATATTGCGTTCAGTTCAAATATTTTGCTTCTTCGTTTCCTTCTTTTAGTTAACTCGTACTGTGAGACCGGCAGCTTCGCTTTTTTCAATTTTTTGCATGCAGAGGCGATGGTGAGACACCATGCAAAAGAAAACAATCTAGGTTAGATGAGTTGTTGAAATTGTCAAAATTAATTTTTCAAAGTAATCGATTGTGATGGTCTAATTGGCATAAGGAGGTTCCCAAATATTTCTAACGTGTCTGATAAGGGATGATGGTCTGAGTATTCATAATGGACGAGCGATATTGTCTCAGTCGAGTCATAGTGAATACTTACTCCTGGGTGCTTTTTCTTCTTACAAAAGCTTTGCTTGGGTTACAGTCTGTTCTGCTTTGTGCATGGCTGCTATACCGACAAAGATTTATTACAATAACAATAATAATAATAATCGTCATCATCAGTAAATAAGAAGCTCAATATTAATCTACTTATCAGATTTAGCTTTTTCTTAGATAACTTCTATATGAATGGAGAAATTGCGAGATTGCTTCCGTGTATATCAGTACATCATGTCATTCAGGAACTACTTATAGCGAGATAAAATTTAGGCAAGTTTTATTTTTTGTGTGTGTGTGTGAGAGAGAGAGAGAGAGAGAGAGAGTGAGTGAGTGAAAATTGATTGTGCAGGATTAAAGTGATATGTGAAATATTACTAGACTAACAAATGAAAACACAATTTCAAAATGATCATAGATATTAATATATGATCTAATCAAAAAGTTGATAATGATTTTATATGTAAATTTTATTTTACATGTTTATCAATTTTTTTCAAATTAACCCTATTGATATTCCTTCAATAATAATCAAGTAAAAGATGAAAAGAGAGAATCAAGAAAGAAACTTAGAGTATTATAGGGGAAAAAAAATATTATATTAAATAATTTAACTAACGTTCTTAATCTATTCAAATTAATTAATATTAAATCTTACATTAAAGACAAAATAGAGTACATAACAAATGTAAAATGTTACATTAAAAAAAAAAAGAAGAAAGAAAGAAAGAAAATTTTCTAAGTTAGGCCCTTGCTACCCCTTCATCATGCCAATCATACCCTAAGATGTATACTAGAGTTTCTCGTACATAATCCTCATCGAAGTTATGTGATTACATTATTCGAAGCAACTTAGAGAGAGCGCCTGTAATGTTCACAAACCGTATCAAAAGACAAATAAACACATTTCAGCACCCTCTGAAAACTCCTAAAAAAATCTGTTTAGCATCTGCTCAAGATTTTACAGGACAATTGCCGTGCTCAGTTATTGAGTTGAAACTTGTGCTGAATATAAATACAAGAACAGACCACTCTATTCAGCATTCCACAAATGTAAAAGGACATGCGAATCAGATATGATAGGGCCAGTACAAAATATTTCACAATCAATTGAAATATACATATATATGTATAACATATGTCATGACTATAAATATAATTCAAAACCTTTAGGGTATAATTTTGTTATCTTCTTTTTTGCATATTATGATATATTATTTGATAAATGTATGCATAAATATAGGGAGAACAATCAACACACACTCCTGTACTTCAACCCATTTACAAACGGCTCCCGTCTACCCCAAAATTCAGATAATAGACCTTTGTAGCAGCTGTCTTGGAGACCGATTTGATAGAAGGAGATTTGCCAAATACAGAGATGAAGAAGTGGAACTTAATAAGTCATGCTTGCATGAACTAGAGTATGAAATCAATGTTGTAGACAACATGAAAATTGTGGGTCAAAATTTTGTTCTGTCTAGCTAAAAGAATATCACGAGAAATGGGTGCCTTGGTTGGAAATTGCTAATGGAACTGCTGAGGGAAAAGTGAAATTATAGAATGGTAACCACAGTTGAAATTAGAGGTTTGTATCCAAAGATTTGCAGATGGTAATTTGCATAACGGTCTGCTCCCAAGTTTGCAAAACATAGAGGTCCATTATTGTATTTTAAAGATCATACTGGCTAGTTATAGTGAGTGCAAGCTGTGCTTATGCATTTCTACCTAGATAAATAGACATACGCTACCGAGTCTAGGTTCAGGTTGGTGAAGCGGGTAGATATCATACCAAAGAACCTGACATATCCATAAATCCAAGAGAGCAACTTCTTGCAATCCTTGTAGGGCTTGGGGTATGTTGCACATCCCTAGATGTGCGGCTCAAACTCCAGTGTAGCAACCTACTCAATCAAGCCGCGTGGTTTTCCATATGAAATTACTAACGGACCAAGAAAAAGTAATCAGAAGATAGAAAGTTTTTCAAACCCTGGGTAATTATGCTTCAATTCAACTGTAAAGAACTCTTTGATATCAATATCCAGAAATTAAACAAAGGTTTCCCTACAGTCGCATGATTAGATTTTCCCACCAGTAGTCATCTATGGCTTGACACCGAACCGTCCAACTTTGACACCACAGCTAAGCATTTGCATAGCTTCAACCGAGACTCAAAAAACACAGGTGCATTGGAAGAAAATATTTATTTCCATCACACACACACACACACACACACATATATATGAAGGTACCAGCAATAACCTACATTGATCAAGCAGTCATGGTGGCTAGGTAAAGGTGAAAAGGCAAAAAAGTGAGGGAAAGATGAGATAAGAGGAGAGTAAGAAGAGTTAGACACGGAAGAGAGGGGGAAAAACCTCTTTTCTCTCTGTTTTCTCTTTTGTTGTAAATCTTCTACCTTGTCAGAACTTCTTGATTCTTTGTTGAAAGCCGTTTTATAAACTCATATGTGGTGATCATTGTTGTTGCAGACATTGACATTGAAGCCCATCGAGGTCCCAACCCTCTGTAGCAGGCCATCCAACCACCTTCCTTAATCAATTTCCTCACAGTCTGCATAACTGTTGGTCCTCGACGGCCATTCTCATCACCATCCAAGACTTGAAGTCTTGTCTTGATCGTGTCTAGTGGCATTGTAATGAGGGCAGACATGCCACCAGCCATTGCTGCACTGACTCCCTGAACTGCCATTACAGTTTTCGAATCTGGCCTTAATACATCATCCACAGAATCGCTGTTCTTATCATCTTTCTTGCCCCAGTAGTAACCAACTCCATTCCAAATCAGCCTTTGCGCAACAGAGTATGAAGCCCACCAAACTGCATTTGAGGGTGCATATGTCAAAATGGATATCCCAAACCCCCTATACAAACCTCTGGGACCATCTGTGATCAGAATTTTCTTGAATGCATCAATCCCGTTGACATATAGATGTGCCGAAGCCTTTGGATTATTTGAATTACAACCACCTTGAACCATCAACCTTTGGCTCACAACATCAACGGGGGGTCCACACGAGTTGAGCTGCCATGGCAGCACTCAAACCTGCAGCAGCATTGGCGATAGTAGCCGCAGTTGGTTCGGCAAGCCCTAACCTAACCGTGACAGTGCCTACATTACTCTTTGTAATCTCCAGGGCAGCCATATATAGTGCTCGAGCTGGAATTGTACCCATCAAGGAAGTACCAAAACCTCTGTACAATGCTCGAAAACCCTCATTCCTAATAAGTGAAAGTGCAGTTTGGATACAAGAAACTCGGGATTCAGCTACTTGCTGCCTCGTTTTCAATACAACAATCGGGTACAGAGTTGCTGAAACCCCTGAGAAAAGGGCAGCACCAAGGAAGAAAAACTTCGATTTATCAAGCATATGCCAATCAATATCAGCCGGGACTTGAACTTCTTGTGTCGATTCTTCCTCGGCATCGCTCTCACTCATGCTCATTTTCGCCACTTTATAACCCTCAAAAGCTACACCGAAATGCCAGAAACAACCCAGAATAAGAAGATGGTTCAACTTCTTTCAAACCTCGTCATCTCAAACACTGACTGTACATTCTCAAAAACCCAACAAGGAACACGTAAAACAAAGAAGGAAAATTCTTTTAAAAAAGATCTAACTGTACGAGCTGTACAATTGGCAATCCGATTTCGTAGAAAACATCAGAAGGAATCAACCAAATGAAGCCAGTTTTTTTCTCTTGTGGAACCAGGTTTTTGATCGAACGTGAGCCACGATGAATAGATCTAACATTTCCAAGTAAACAAACAAGGAATCACAACCGCATCATACCGGGGAACCGGTCATCCTCGCCACCGGCGACGAAGAATCCAAGCTTGCCGGAAAATTCAAACCATCCACCAACATCAGACAAGCATGTTTCCTTAGCGAATACAAAAAATGGCGAGGCCGCAATGGAAGTTATGGAAACTCATCCCTGAGAGAGAATAATGCTAAGGTTTCGATTCGCTGGTGGTACGGTTTGAGAGAGAAAGGGAGACCGGTAACCGGAAACGGAGGCGCCCGTTGGCGGGAATCTCGCGGCAGAGCATCGCCGGAAGGGTCGAGATAAACGGACACGTGTCGGTTTTGGATGAGGGCCAAACTTGCTTTTTTTCGGGAAAACAGAGGTTTTTGTTGGACGATTGTCAGGAAGGCGACGTGTTGTCCGAACATGCAAGTGACGTGGAAACCCTTATCCAGTGCCTGGAGTCATGATCACATGTGGAGCGTCCCATGGGAATCGTATACTCCGCAAATGATATTGATAGGTCCAAAATTGAATGGAAAAAATTATTTAAGTTAAATTTAAGACTAAAATATTTTATTTTTTATAATAAAAGGGAAATTAAAAATTAATAAATATGTTAATAGTAACTATAGAAGTCTCTATAATTTAAAAAAAAAAACAGATTGATTTATTATTAATTATTAACTGCTGCTGATAATTATTACAGGTCTCTACAAAATTTGATGCTTATGGTGGCAAAAAAACTGACATTTATACTTTGGTTGCAATGCACAGAGATTAATACAGCATGTTTTCTTTTTAAGAAAATGCATAAATTTGAAAAGCAACAATATTTGTACAGTATTTTAATTTTAAATTCCACATATAAATATATAAACAAGCAATGGCACTAAAGATTGGGCTTGAATAGAAATGCTTAAAACTAAGCCCA